GGATGCCTCTCATGAGAGATAAACTCATGAGCTGCAGAGTTTTGCCTAGGCACGCTGTTGGCAATAAGTCAGGAGAGAGAACGTAGACAATGACATGGGTCATACTGGAGTATATAAGTAGTCTATGTTCTGTCTCATGAACAGTATTGGACAAGTATCAGACACCTGCCAGCAATCACATTACCAAGTATCAAACCATCTGAACAAACATTGTGACACATCCCAAGTAACTATGTTCCCATTTAACTCATAACTTTAACAAATATTGATCTGATGACTTGACCCGTGAAAGAAGAGATTGTCAGTGTCGGAACAATTAATTCGGTTGAGCCTATTTTGGGTTTGAAGTTGGTGGTCCCTGCATGAAGTTTGAAGATTTTTCTTTGTGATTCCCTTATATTGAGTAAACTATTATACGAGGATAGATACCAACTTCGTAGCTATTGTTTAGGGGAGAGATACATATAATCAATCAAACCCAATCGAAAAATTATTCTCCTTACATATTGCAGTACCCTCATTACTTTAAGTGGACCTATTAGCTTGTAGTGTATGACCTTTGTCATACCAACAGGTTATAAGCCTGGATTTTCGCTCGCGCAATCCTGTTGTATCGCCCGGAGTTTGATACTATCTTCGTTATGGGCAGGTAGAAGGACATATGCTCTACTTGCGCCAAATTAATCCAACAAGGAGGCTGTCACCTTCTTGAACCCAAGACAAGGCCATCGCCTTTGAGTTGCAATCTCTAAAGAAAATTGAACGGCTGTCGCCTGAGAAGACAGGAGGTTATTGCCTTCTTTAGGGAAAGCACAGGTTGTTGTGCTGGTGATGCCTATGATTACGATGCACAATGGTAATGATCACTGAGGGTGAAGGAAGAACTTTCCAGGTGGCTCCATGATGAGTAGAGGCTCAATGGAGCACTGTATAGAAAGTGTTTCTAGATTGTACTGCCACATGGAGGATACTAGAATATTCCGTGATACTATTTTGGGTAAATGAGGCAAGAGTCTAGCTACCTCAGATGTGTATATAATTAGCGCTTTCTACCTCCTAAATCCTCATAGTTCTGAATATCAAATATATCAGCAGTTCACATTGATTCATTGATAATCATCCGTAAACCTTCTGCCAATTAACCTCCGTAAGCTCTTACCTTTACAACACAGGTCGAGTACTGAAGATCGGGGTCGCTGCGAAACCTTCGTCAGGATTGATGGTTCCTAAACGCACCGGTAGCCAGCCCGTTGATGGACTCTAAGAGAGAGAGCCTATGGGTCAAATGAGTCGACCCGAAAATTTAAAAAAAAAAAGAGAACACAAACTGGCAGCTACAGTACGAAAGCTGCTCCCAACATCACAGTCTGACAGCTACTATTCGACAGCAGTTAATTTAAATTCGTCGACTTTTTCCGAAGCTTGTCGAATCCCCAACCTGATCGCTCCTGTCCGAAAGCTGTCCCAAAATTTTTCGCTGCTGATTTCCGACAGCAGTTCGAACCTCAATCCAGCAGCTCCGCTTTGAAAGCTGCCACTTATACTCTCAAGACTTCCCTTCTTAAATTCTTCGCCTTTATCTAAGCTGGGGGAACTTCATCAAGTCATCCGACAACAAAAAGCCTCTACAATAGCCTAAGGCTCCAATTTAACACCCTTTTAACGGCTATCTTCGTTTGACATTATATTGTCGTGGGGGAGATTAAGTCAGAAAGTAGAAGAACTATCGGTAAAAAAAAGGCCAAAGCAAGATAGAAAGAAATCCAAGTGGAGCTTGGTAATGGTATGAGAGAGCTATCACACGGTACGCTTTGGAATAAAAGTCTTTGGAAGGGATACACCAGTGGGGCATATTGCTTGTAAAGGGAAACGAGACAATGGAGCACTAGTGTTTTGGATGGAATAAACACCGGAACAACCACAGTACGGAAACTGGGGGAGTGCATGTGAGAGCTGAGAAAGGCTGACGCTAAGACGCTAAATCCTGGGGGAGCCTTAGAAGTTACCGACATCAAATCGAAAGGTTACCCTGGAAAGGCTTAGGACTCTACGGTGTTCATGGGGGAAAATGAAAGGAGATGAATCAATTCCAAAGGATACGTTACTTGGATTGATTCTGTTAAAGTTATGAGCTTGAGCGAAGATGGAGGTTGTAGCGGAATCAGTGTCAGCGGTTAGACCGATGCAGTAAGTCTCGTATGAGGTTGTGAGAGGAAGATCCGAGTGGAAACAACTGTATTTAGATGTATGGTTCAGAGTAAAACCGAGATGATAAGAGTGAAGTTGCGTATTTGCATATCTTATCAACTGTGGATTTTGACCAGTATTTATCAATCTCCATGGATCGTAAGTTATGATCCATGTAGATGTAGATCTATGTACATACACATATATGGGCCAGGAATATAAAGCTAAATACATGTGTGTCGGTAATAGATACGAGAAAACTATAACCTGCATTTGAGACATAGTCATCCGCTGGAATGCTAGTGTGAAATAAACGCTAATGCGCATTAAACTTTCGGTGAATGATGTATTGATAACAGTGATATAGAATGGGGAATTTGATAGTCAAATTAGCCGGACTTACTAATAAGTTATTCTTGGCATTCCAAGATAAATCACATTTAAACAGATTCATCGAAATTTGAAAGACCAGTTTGGGAGCGGACAACTAATCATTCAAGCAAACGTCTAATGAAGCAAAGATACAGGAAGACAAGGAATACGCCCAATTAGTCTATGGGGGAGTGATAGAATTTAGAATAATTGGGGCTATCAAGTAGGCCACGTTGTTGGTATGCACGTGACTACAAATTCTGTACTTAGTTTCACTTCGGTGGTTACCTTAGTCAATGCGCTCTACAACCTCAATGACTGAGGGGTCATTATTTCCTTAATATAAATACATAAATAATTCAATTTTCCTTCTAAACCTTAGTAGGGCCCAAAGCAGTATTGCAGTTCAGATAAGAAGTGAGCACATTGGTCTCAATTCTTATCTGTATCGAAGAAAAGTCCCCGGAGTGATTAATCCAAAATGCCAGTGTGGATATCCGTCTCAAATTGTCAAACATGTGGTCTTGGCGTGTCCTCAGTGGGCACTGGGAAGAGGAGACGTGCTTCGAAAGGCAAAAGATAGGTACTTGCGGCATTGATGAACAGCCCAGATGATTTAGAGAGAATCACAAAATGGATCCTGGCATAAGGCTGGTTTGAACAATTCCGGCTCGCAGGAGAAGTAGAAATAGCATTGGACGAAAAGATGAGATGATGTGGACAAGGATAAAACGGATTTCACACTGTATAAACAGTGTGATCGCACTTCTCGAAGGAGACCTCAGAAAACAAATAGACATGAGACAAACAGTTGTGGGGGTTTTACCGAATTTGGGTTCCTCCTGTGTAAATATTATAGCTAGATATACCTACATGGGCCCATAGAGTACCTGAACGGGCAAAATGAAATCAATTCAATTCAATTTTCCTGATTTGGTGCCTTGAGGCCCTTGCAGGTTTTATCGGAAGATATGTACTTTACGTAGGATGACCTAGTTTGACGCTTAGAACACTCACACTCAGATTTTATTTGCAGATACCACTCTAGATTAGCCCTCACGGCGTAAAGCCTCTTCCGTGTACACCCACCACAGGGAAAAGCGTGAAAATCCTATGGTTATCCGAGTGTGCTTTCATCATCCCACAAATACAATATCACTGCGAGAGATAGTGGTATGTGGGTTTTGTTGGATTCGAACCTGTCGAACCTTTTTAGCTGGTTCGGAAGCTGTAATGATTGAGACTAGAGGTATCTGGAAGAGTAGCTCGCATAGGAGCTTTTAATTGAAGTGAAATAAAAAGATGTAATTGTCTGTCTGTCTGTCTTCCTTCCTCTTTCTCTCAGCTTATATATCTCCACATATATACTACCTGACATATGATGATAATATCTAGAAATAGCTTCCTTACATCACAGGATACAATCCAAACATGTTGTAGCCAAGATGTAATCCTAAACAGACTCAATACCAGTCCACCACGTCTGTTACACGGACGCCAAGCATTTTCTAGCTGAAAATTACCCAAAACGCCAAGGTTTTCCTGAGGCAATCACAAATTATGTCAGGTACCAGCTTGGCATATTATTCTGACAATAATTTTTCGATCATGTTAAAAGAATGGAATTTACATGAATCACGAAACATTAATTCAGGAATACGAATTCCACCGGGTTCTGATACTGGTCTGACAGAACCAGCTTTCTCCCGTCTCAATCTCAATAGTCATTGACTCAGTTAGGACTATAATACAAATCTCCCGTCTCAAATGGGGTAGGTGTTCAAGCTACCCAGAGTTTACTTGGGGGAACGGCCCGAATGGTATACCACTGCACCATCCAACCCTAGCTGAAATACCGCTGCGTCAAAGTAAACCCCTCCGGGATGGTGGCCTGGCCCACATCAGACAATAAATAATACCGCCGCCACCAACGATACCCCTGGGATAATTTCCACATACATTTGTATATTCGACTTCCACAGTACAAATTTTTAGATCCACTCAAAAGACTAACTATCTGAGCCATTCAACGCAATTGCACATTCATCATATCAAAGACTAGTAATAACACTCGTGGGCCAATTTATTTTATTCTGCGAAATTTGACTAAAGTTTCTTTCGAAAGAAAATTTTACCCTCAGCTTTGTAGAGGACACCGTGAACCGGCCTTCAGTATTTTTCGTTATCAAGTGAGCGTGTACATGCCATCTAGATTGTGCCGTTAATAATAAGTTTATGTGAGTACGCTAAGGGTTTTCTGGGCCGTAATTATTAGCTCCAATGAGCCCCATCAAAGCTTAGATTTTAATACGCTCAAGAACCAAATCAGAAGCATCTCTTAAGGAATAAATTTCTTAATTTCAGGTGTTCTGGCTGAAAGGCTTTAGATAAACATATAATAAAGCTTTTCAATCTCATACGTTTGCGACTAATTCAGCAAAATGTCTACGGAAACCGCCACAATTCCTTCCTTGTCGGTATCAGCTAAAGATGTTGAAATTTCACAGTCACAACCTCACCTTATGAATCTAGCGTGTCAAGTCAAACATAATCTTCAGTTTCAACACACTTGGAATAAATTAACTATACAAATTCAATCCCCACTTACGCAACAGCCTCTTATCCGACCCCTCGTGGCTGGTCTCCCGCCGAAAAGGATATACATACACCCCGACGAACAAATAGAACTACTCAAGTATGATGGTGCCAGTAATGAGGTTATGGATGGAGCACATGAAATTGATAAAGACATCGTGAAGATGAGCGGTCAGCCTGAAATGGAATGGGTGCTGCCTACACATGTGGAAGAAAATTGGTCTCTGCGGAGCCTGGCACGTGTATTCGACGCTATCAGCACTATGCCGCCAAATACAGAAAATAATGCTTTGAAAGATGGAATTGTAGAAAGGCAAGTTGGCTGGCAGTGGCGCGGGGAGCACAGGCAAAAAAGACTATTAATGGCAACTGTTCACGATGATAGTACAATAGTTTACTACATCGTGCATGATGGTATTGTGAAGCCGCGCCAAAATTAGTACTGGAAGACAGACGATTACACGACCGGTGTAAAATATAGGAACTGAAGAAACATAAATTCTACTCCATCGACTGTCTCAAAAGATCACGGTCTTATAACGCCAATAATATTGGTAGATAGAGGCTAAATAAACTCGCATCTTTTATAGCCTGTTGCGAACTTTTCACCCAATCACTTGCACGAAATCATATTAGTCTGATCTTCAATTTTCGACCGCACCGAGATAAGTCTATTAAACTCAAAATCTGCACCTCGCTCTGTTGTCAGGATTTCTTAACATTTCCTATCACAATTTTTGGGGTACAAGAGCCGAATTACTTTCACTACAGACCATTTCGGTCAATATGAATTAAAAAAAAAAAAAAAAAAAAAAAAAAAAGACCATTTCGGTGGTAACTTAACATACTCAGACCCAATATCAACGCGTGATTAATAGCATGCTATTTATGCCTGCTCACGTGATTTTAATTATACTTTCCTGCACAGAAATTTCCTCGCCAAAACCATGCGTTGCCAAGATGGGAGGATTTTCTCCCTCTCTCATTGCTGCCTATCTTCTTTAGGGATGGGTTGGATGGTGCAGTGTTGCACCTTTCGGGCCGTTCCCCTAAGTAAATTCTAGGAAGATTGAACACATACCCTATTTGAGACAGGAGAAAGCTGATTCAAAATAAGAAGAACCGACACATAACTGACTCTCGCGGTAATATTGTATTTGTGGGATGATGAAAGTACACTCGAATCATTATAGATTATTCACGCTTTTCCCGGTGATGGTTATATACGGAAGAGCTCATGTGTTACGGCGGGTGATGGATGGAGTGGAGATAGCCGTCTGCTGTGAGTATCTGTCTGAATATAGTTCTGTATTATATCACGTGAATTATTTTCGTAACATTTCCTTATATAGAATAGCGCTGGGAACAAGAAATTTGCCCCCCAATGTAATTATTAGTGGTTACTTAGGAGGGATGGAGTTAGAAAGGAATTAATTGATACCAATATTGTTACAACAAGCTTGTCACGAAACCCGTTCACTTGAAATATTCCGACAGTATCCTTGTAATAACTAGGTGAGAAACAAAGAGAGGACATATCTGATAATAGATCTGGTGGGTTGACTGAGTTGGCGAGATGCTAGGAGGTTGGGACTGAGGGACGAGAGGTCAAGACAAGCTGTAATATATTTGGAGAATATTGGACTATGGAGATATAAGATTGAGAAGCTAAAGAACTACTTTGTGGTAACTCCAGCTTCCTTAAATACAACTAACTACATGCTAGATTTAAGTGAGGCTTTGGAAGGTTATATCATGGTGAGCCCCTCCAACTCTAATTGTCAGAATTTTCCCGTATATTTTCTCCTCGAACCTTCTCCTTGAGACTTCTTCAAGGATGCCTGGCCATAAAATCATGCGCCGTAAGGGTTAACCTCGAATGGTATCTGCAAATAAAATCGGAGTGAGTGTTTTAAACGTCAAATTAGGTCATCCTACTTAAAGTACATATCTTCCGATAAAACCTGCATGGGCCTCAAGGTGCCAAATCTAGAAAAGAGAATGATTTATTAATTTATTTCCTTTAGAGGTCGAAATTCTCGTAGATATGATGACTATTTAAGTCACCTGACACTACATTTCATCTCGGGCTCCTTTGGTTTCAGGAATTTTGGTGTCTCAAACTCTTTGGGCCAAGTCCCCGTCTACACGCAAGCAACTAATCCCCTTGACACATCTCCCGGTCCATTAATTCTGGAAGGTCCCCCAAGCTCGACCCAGCTTGTTCGGACCACCTCACATTCACTCCCGCGTCCCATAGTTTTCCTTGGGAATTGATACGCTATTCTAGACGTTGAAGATGAAGTATAGACGGCACATGTCTATAGGGCTACTATGTCTCTTGCAGATTAGCGTTTGTAGGGGAGCCTCTTCACACGAGCTTGCACTTACCTTTGCGAATGAACAAAGATTCGACAACATTATTATTCAAGAACCCTACATCTACACTGATTGACTACACCAGATCATTAAATTCAATCCCAATTACGAGCGCTTTACCCCCATGGATGACTGATCATCCAGGCCTCGAGTACTCTTTTTTTTATATTCTATTAAGCTAGCTAGCTATGACAATTTATATAACAATAATCCACCTATCCTACTTATTCTTACATAAGTCCTTAATATTTTTTCAACTACATTTCCGCTATTTCTTGTCCTAATTAATCCCTTTTGTGCAAAATTATGCACCTTGAAGTTTTCAAATATTCAAGTAATGCTTCTTTTCCTCTTTTAGTTCTCAGAATTATTGGAAGATTAAGGGGCTCTATATTTTTGAATGTGCCTTCTCTTTCCTTTTCAAATGTCTGACAATGGAGAATTAAGTGTTGCATGGTTTGTTTTCCCCTATTGCGGAAATTGCAGACGCTATCTTTTGTCTTTCCAAATTTGTGTACACAAGACCTCAAATTTTCTATGCCAGTCCTCACTTGAAAATATGAAAATTCTACTGCTCTACTATGGCCTTGGAAATTTAGCGGATGAGTAGAAAATATTGGTGTTGTCATTTGGGCCTGTGTCCTGTAAAATTTGCCAAGCCCAGAGCTTTTTCTTCCTTCTTCACGGAAGAGTTCTGAGGTCCATTCTTGGATCCAAGCTTGTAAAGGCAGCTCTTTAGCCCATTGATTTAGAAATGAATGTGAAGTAAAATAGTTTCTTTTTAGTACCTTCTCTTTGCTGGCTCCTTTTGCCAAATTGTCAGCAAGCTCCTTGCCTACTATTCCAACATGGCCAGGGCACCAGGAGAGTTGTATTAAATAATGCTCTGCCTCTTGTCTAATTTGGTGTGAAAAATGATTTTCTTTATTCTTAACCCTCATTAGACTAGCTTGGCTTTCACTTAATAAATGATACATGCCTTGTGGTATCATCTTCTTTAAATTTCTAATTGCTATGATGATACAGAATGTCTCTGCATCTGTGATACCCATAGTATCCCCAAGAATGAAGGAGAAACATTTCATCTTCCTTGTGACTGGAAGATATATAACAAATCTAATGCTGTTGCCCTTTCCGCCTCGAGTACTCATATATCCACAAAGTAGCTGGACTACAAGTATGTATTAGAAACTTTAAAAGATTTCTAGGAGGAAATATCTCGTAGAACAAGTGTACAATTTCGGACAAGATTTTATTGACAGTTAAATAGGATATCGAACTCTCTTCTCAATATGAATTAATAATATGTTATATTCTGTTAATTAATTTATTTTAGTTTGAAGTCCTAGGCCGTAACCTTCAATCTATTTAGATGTAGGACCAGTGGAGCCGTCCGAGATTTAACCTTTAGGCTTGCCTAACTCGTTCACACCCATTTTAAAGCTAATAAATCATGCGCTCGTTAAATAAATAATGTAGTGAAGAAAAAGAAAATAAATAAACAAAAGAAATAATCAATGGTTTTGAGTCAGCAATCCTCATTCTGAGCTCTCCTCCGCCAGCATATTTGCCCTGGAATTTGTCCTAAAACCCGTCCTTGCGTTCAGCCCAGAGCTAGGATGCGTCCAGCCTTCTGAAGCAGCCTGTAACCCATACAAAATTTTTAAACTTCTCTAACCCTTTATGTCCGAGGAGTTGCTTGGTAAAAGCATCTAAACTCAAGTCTTTTCTAAGTTTACGCGTCAGAATATTGTATCTCCGACAGCGTGTGAAGTGGGTAGGCGTCTCTTCTAGCCCACAGCTACAAACTAGATTTGCATCTTCGTGCTTGAAGCAACGGTGGTACGCCGCAAAATCCCCATGCCGTGTTCTCGCAGCAATAAGTTCGTGTAGTAATCTCCGTGGCAATGAAATTTCTGGGGGTTTACGTCGTTGCATTTGCTGGTCCAAGTCTTGGTATCGAGCTGGACAAGCAGTTGACCACCATTTGTCTATCAATTCTTGTCGTCGCTTTTGCATAAGACGTCGAAGGTAAGCAAGACTGATATAGCTGGGTTGTTTCTGGCTGTCCGGAAGTAATTTTAGTGCGGCCCGAGCTTCTTTGTCAGCCTCCGCCTTCCCCTCCATGTTAGAGTGTCCTGGGACCCATCTGATTTCTGAATTGGATCTTTGCACAGCATCATGAAAGATGCGAATTAAGCGGCAGGTAGAGGACGAATTTCCAGTCTGCAATGCTCTAACAGCTGCTTGGTTGTCGAGTAGCACGGTTATCTTTTGTTCCCCTTGTCTCGCAATGATAGCAGCTCACAGCGCGCCTATTGCCCTGATAATCTCGGCATCGAAAATTTCGCATCTGTGCAGCAACCCCGGTTCCCTCTTGAAGGTAATTCCTCCTCTTTGAAGCACATAGCCCCATGCTGATCGACCGTGACCTTCTGAGGACCCATGTAACGGTTTCATTACAAAATACATGAGCAATGTTGTTGTTTTACTTGGTATATGATATGGGGAACGTACGCTTGCGGTGACAGCTAAGATAGATTGGATTGCAGAAGATGAGATTGATCAGATGATGTGTGAAAATGTATATAGAGTATGTGTCTATCTACATAGGAAAGATAAATGCTTTTATGTGTGGCCAAGTCGCTTACTAGCCAATCACTTGGACCACTCTGTTTATCCATGCTATTTCCCACTCCGAGGCAAATGCGCCAAACACAACATGTGAGTTGTCTTCCCTGCAGGAAGAACTCCATGACGTACCCTCTTCACGAGCACCACGTGCCTTATCTACTTTAGCTAAGCACAACAGTTGTAGGTACAATATTTTAATTATGATTCTCTGAAGAGAGAATTTCTCTTCTTAATGACTACCTGTATTTACAGACTGAAATACCTCTCCTCAATAAGGTTCTCTCTATGACTTGTCAACTCAGACTCTCCGACAATCGCCTGTAGATCCTTGATACTTCTGTAACCCTCATGAACTCTCAGTAGGTTTCAACAAGGCTCAATGTGAATCATCTAGGTTCCCTGTCATCCAAGATCTTCTCAGGAACCT